ATTCATTCATGTTTTTTTCAAACTATAGTCCGGCCCCCCAACATTCTGAGGGACCGTGAACCGGCCCCCTGTTTAAAAAGTTTGAGCACCCCTGATCTAGTGTGTGATTATTTTTAGATAATGATTAGTAAAGCTGAATAGTATTTTAAAATATGTTAACAACTACTATATTTCAATTAGCTGTTCTGGAGCCAGTTGTACAATATCACATTATTCATATTTCAAAAATAATTCTTCACTGGTATAAAGTTGGTGGAGGGACTTTAAGGAATTGAACAATGGTCATGAAAAACTGAACTATGTAGTTAGATGGACTTAATTCTACAATTGTACTTACAGAATGGCGCAGAATGAATCAAGAAATTAAGTCTTATAACAGTGGGATGCATACTGTATGTTAAAAAGGCATAACCAATAAGTTCTACAAAAAACTGAATTTCTTTTACAAAGAAATGTGATGTCTGTACTGGTTTTGATACATGAAAAAAATTATTCTTTAACAGGATATTATTAAAATGCATCATTAAGAGGTAGAAACTTGGTTGGAAAAATCAAAATAGCCACATCCTGTATGAATTATTTACACAGTTTTATTTAATTTCACATCTAGCAAAATTAGTCTACAGACTCTTCATGGTGGATATTTAGTATCCATATAAATTAGAATTTCTATTAAACCATTCTATTATGCTCATTCACTGCAGAAAATATAAATTCTCCATAGATATTTAGAGACCACAGTGTTAAATGTTCAATACAAGTAGTCCTTGTTTAGTGACTTCCTCACAGTGATGAAAAAGTAACTTTGTGACCAATCCTTGAATTTACAAACTTTGCAGGTCTGTAAAGCAAAGGAAAGCTGAAGTAAGATCATAAGCACAATCGTGGTTTCACTTAGTGACCACTTCACTTAACTACCAAGTTGCTGGCCCCAATTGTGGTCACTAAACGAGGACTATCTGTATTGTACAGTCAAGTAATTGTATATATTTTCTAGAAATGTCAGCCACTGAATTCAAGTACATTCCTCAAATATTAAATGTATATAACCTCAAACTTTAAAATAGCCTCTACAGTTAAACAGCACAGAGTTATAAATATATGCATATTTTAAGTACCCGGAAAGCTACATGAGCATCAGTAAGTAGTGGACCCTCTATTTCAACAATATTCATGCTTGCTTCTTCTCCAACTAGACGTGCACTTGCTTCCATGCTTTCTGCAGAACTTGGACACGGTGCACTCTCTCCTGGGTTTAATGCTTTTGCAAGAGTATCAAATGCCCTATAAAAAATACATTGAAAAGTAAGATTAATCAACTTCAAAAGACAAAAAATATTTTTAAAAATTTATAGATCCCAAAAATGCCAATTAAATTAAATTTTAAGAGGAAAGGGATAACAAGAAATGAGTTCCCAGATCTTGAATTCTGAAGAACAACCAGGCAGAACCTGAAGATTAAAAACCACAACCCAAGAGGAGTAATTTACTTTTAGTACAAAGTTCTGGGGCATGAGCCATAAGCACTAGAATGCTGATAATTCATACAGTTCATTTGTACTATCTGACATGCCTACAGCCTCAAAGCTCTCTCAGTCAATATTAAAAAGAAAGCTGTTACATGATTTTTGAGTATCATTATATATTTAATATTCAAGATATTCTAAGAACTTCTGAGTCATACCTCCAGGAAACTACAGTTATCAGAATCATAAACCAGCTTCAAACTGTGATGCAAGGTTGTTTTTTCAATCCTAGTAAGTGCAGTTTCCTAATTCAGACATAAAATGAAAGTATTGTTAATTAACCCACAAAATGATCATTCAAGGCACTCCAAGAAGCAAGTAAGAGAAGAATGCCAAGTAATGGAGCAAGTGGGCACAATACTTATGTATGTATCTCATTAATAAAGCAAGGTACATGTATTCCAACTAGACATCTGTGTTAGACTCTTTCCACTTAGCTGGCTGATCCTTGCTGCTTAATAAAATATAGTTAAACATTCAATGTTATTTTTTTCACATTTACTACTGTAGCTAAAGTGTCTACTGCTGTTCCTATGTGGGGTCAGAACATTTGGATACTAACACTCCTTACCTTGTAACATCAGCACTTGCATGTTCATCTTGCTGAAGTTCAGACAATGATGTATCTCCATTGCTTAGGTTTTCTATCATTGACAGCTCAGCACTATTTTGAGATATATCTTTGGATTTACTTAGATTTGCTAATGAAGTTACAACATTTGCTAAAGTACTTAAATCTCCTTGACACGTTTCAACCTAAAGAGTGGGAAAAAGTAACTTTGTCAGTATTGATAGGAACATGTCTTAATATTCCTGACACTATAGTATATCTATCGCAGAATATTTGTTGGTAGTTTTATAAGGCACTTAATTAATGCACAAAAATCAAAGTAATGAAAATAGCCAAGTCATTGTACATTTTAACTAAAACTTATTGCTTAGCAACTTAGCTAATATAATTTGAGTTTTAAAATTCTACTGTTTTAAAGACTTTTTTTAAAAATAAATTTTATTAAAAGTTTTAAAGAGAACATAAAAACTAACACCAACTAATACAAAATACAGAGAACAAAGATAAAAAAGGCAGGAAAAAAAAAGCAAAAATGCAGTGAGAAATAAAAAGAAACAGAAAAAAGAAGTTTCCGATTTTCTCTGCAGCAAAATATAATTACAAAATTATCTCTTACTCTATAATTACAAAAAAGCTCACTTTTTTCTATTATCGTTTTTTTTCTAATCATGAAAACACAAGTCATAAGTGCATTTTTTCCCATTTCATGCAAAAAGTCTATAAGGGGTTTCCACTCAGCCATAAATGTAGCTACTGTCTTTTCTCTAATTAAGGACATTAATTTAGCTATCTCTGCACGTTCCATCATATTCACCAACCATTCCTCCGTTGGGGGTAGTGCCAAGCCTTTCCACTCTTGAGCATATGATGGACTCGCTGCAGTTGTCATATATAAAAACAAAGTTCCATGACTTTTTC